CAGACCAACTATAATATGTATACTACTACTGCAGTATGAAAGTACATTGACAGAACTAAGGTTCATAAATTCAAACACATCTCCTTAATGGCCACTTAGCTGTTTAGATATCTGAAATGAATCCCTTTGGTAAAACCCAAATGTACAAGAATCAAACAAGATGAGTGACATAAACAGTTCAGAAATCAGTTGTAAATATGCTTGAATCTTTTAAAGAGGCAGGGAAGTTTATTTCTCAATTGACATCAAAGCTTATATAAGCACTGCTAATGAAGAAGAACACCAAGGAAGAAGAATATCTAGAAGAATGCATTCTGAAACATTTACTGACAAATAGAGTGCCATGTATTTTATCCAATCTTAAAAATCAAGTTAAAGGCACAGAAATCTGTGAATGTTGCAGCTTGAGATATAATTGTGAATGATCGATCATTCTTTTGCAATCAGTTTCTAAGGCACAAGACCTTGGCCTGCAAGTCCATCGGCCATTGCCACACCATATGGAAATCTATTCAAGAATGAAAGAAGAATATACCATCTATTTCATTAGCACCTACAAGTCCGGATAGTTTATGCATTTGAAAACACTCATTTTCTGTTCTATCAATGAAATAACATATCAATGAAATCCAAAAAAAAAATTATTTATGTACACATCAGAGTCTATTTTAAGGTTATATATTCACAAGCTGCCAGATTTGAATTGGTTATTGATAATAACCTGTAATCACAAACAAACTAAAGTCACCTACAATGCCACAGCCTCAAAGTGGAATAGTCTATGGAAAGCGTAGAAATTACAAGCTAATTTTGCAGAATTGGCTAGGTAATGCTTTTAGCAAATAATCATTTGTTCTATTGGTACAGCAGTATTGTTTATATTTTTATCTCCCCCTTCAACAATCATCCCTCAACAGTTGTTAACCCCTTATAGTAATAACAATATCATATCCAATATTGCATAATGCCTTCATTGTGCATTGAGGCAGATTTTAAATTGAATGTGTTTACAAATCTGTATAAATTCCGAAATGATGTATGTTGATTCTGAAGTCCTGGATTGACTATTCAATAGTCAATCCAGGTACATTTACTGTCAACAAATTAATTAATCATGGTTGTTAATTTCGCTGATAATAAAATGTCGCTAATAACATAGATGTGAACATGTAGAATAACAATAGAACTCATTGTTTCCTTGCCAAGTACCCAGTAAAAATTCTTGCACATCAAAATAGTGAAATTAAATGCACCAGTTCTAGCTATTAGTCACTCCAATTACAGTATTTGTGTAAGCTAGATATTACTACTGCCAGTCAGTCGACCTCAGTAATAATGGTATAACCCAATGGGGCATAGCATCACACAGCAGCTTCCCAGAGGTGTATGTATTTGGAGTGACAAAAAAGGCTGGGTGAAGCAGACCATCCTGTCTATGCTACCAGTACTTTTTAAGTTAGATATTCCACTAAGGTAGATAAAATTAGATTTGTCTGTATCAGAGAAGCCAAATCCAACTTAAAACACTTTGAAAAGTACCAAACTAGGCCTAAGATATATACTTATAAACTGAGAGAGATCAAATTGAACAGACATAACGTGAGCGATAATTTCACAATTTGTGCAAAACTCAGTTTAGCTAGCTGTCTCCCTGGGTAAAGTTAAGCTGCAAGTGTCTTGGTGAAACTCTAAGCCCAAATCTACAACAGAAAATCCATAAGCAGTTTGTCCTTCTGATTTGGCTGTGATAACTGATGCTGAAGAGATTTCCAACACTAATGAAAAGAACCATCATGTTGGCGAATCCAGTCCTGTGACTCCAAAGCATGCATGCAAGACCACACCATGTGCAGTGTTTTTATTAACGATGTTCTTTTCTAAGTTGATAGACAACAGAGTGTTGGATGGCTTATTGGTAGTGACCAGCGGGGTGTCCACCCAGAGCAATGCTTCAGTGTCATTGTGTTTCGTCTGATATAGCCAACCTTTTGCATGATACTCAGATGTTGTGCATTGTATACCAGTGGGCATTTCCACTGTTAAACTGTTTGAGTCATTTCCTTGTTGAGTTGCTTTTGTGATGTTGACGATCCTCATCAACACAAGTCTGATTTGGGCAAAAAGGTCCAGATGGTAGTCTTCACCTCTTTCCAGTAGGTGTGTTTGCCTAACTAAGCAATGTGCAAGACAGCCTGGGTCTGGAGATCGATCTAGTGTGCCCACCCAGCCAGCTCCCTGAGGCGTCCCACAAACGAACACTGTTTGCAGGAGTTGTATGAAGAGCATTCCAACTGTGAAGTGATCGGGTGGTTCTCCCTGAACAGAGTGCAGAATGAGTGTCCCACAGAAGGCCTTGTTTTGCTCTGCTTCACACTATGTAGCTTGGGGCCTACAAACCCCAATGCTAGAGTGTACTGTAACTGCTTATCTTCCTTAGTTGATGGTGGAGAAACCAGTTAATTATGGACAGGGTTACCAAGATGTCCAGCAGGTAAAGTTGAACCACCTTCATCACCAACACGAACAGTGCTTTTTCCTTCTACCAGCAGCACCATTCCTTTTAACACAAACCTCAACAGATTTTGGCTTGTAGGATGCATTGATGGCTTGGGTGCATTTGGCTTGTTGGGTGCATGTGTATGTATGCATCCTGGAGTTCAAGGGCTACCAAAGTTTGAGTTTGGTGTAACCACCTGGAACGAGTTTAGATCGACCGAGGGGTTCAAGGATGACAGAACTACAACTGGTCTTAGCTTGTCAGAATTGTAGATACTAGAATCAAGTTCCTGTAGAAATTAGGCTTGGCTACAGTGCAGGGGAATATTGTCGCTTTGGTTAGTAGGAATGGTACCTTTGTCTGTACCGTATTGCCTTTGCTTTTAACAGGTCCCTTGGAAACCTTCTGTGGAGGGGTGAGAGGCATTGCCAGGAGCAGTGGTGAGCCCTGTGGTGTACTTTCCCCAAAAGCAGTATGTTTGTTGGGCATATATTGTCAAGGGTGTAGTAACATGAAGAAAAATATTGATTGACCAAGTCTGACAATACAACAGTGCATGAAGATGGCTTGCAGGTGGTGCTGTCACACTTGTGTGTGTTGACAGATGATGTAGTAATAACATCCCCAGGTTAACAGATTAGTGAAATAAATGTAACTCTGCGCTCTACTCTAATTACACTGTTCCTTCAACTGCATAGAATCATCAATTTCCAGTTCACAGAGACCAAATAACCAATAATGGAGGCAGGTATTTCCATTCAGATGAAATTCACCTTAGTTACTTGGCCATTTGAGCATTGAGCAGTCAGAATCATAATCAGAAAATTAACAACTTTGCTTTTGGCTGATGAATCAGGTGATGCATGTCCTTACCAATGCCGAGCACTATAAGCACAATGGCAGACAAGCTCTGTGACGATATCATCGTGTAGGAATACCAAACAACTTAAATTACACAACTGGAGAAACGCTCACACTCATGACCACAGGAATGACACACAGGGTGTAGGTCATTATTACACATATTATTAACAGGCCGAACATCACCGTGGTGTCTTTGGTAATTTTGCTTCTCAACTTGTTTTCTCCGCCAAAATAGGCATGTCAGCCATCTTGAAACCAACGTAAACAGGTAAGAAAATGTTAAGAAACTGAACAGATTGATGAACCGGTGGACTAATAAGAGTGTTAACTGACTAGCAGCACTCAAATTTCAAATTGTGTCTTCGGCCTAGAAACTGAAGATTTAATAGGTATTGCCAATAATCCCTGAATGTGCCATGCACCTGGTGGGTGATATAATTACTCAATTCTGGCTGGCAGTAGTAGTCCCATTTGTCTAACTTAGACAAATAGTTGAAGTAATTGGTTGACGCCATAAACTAAATGCTTTTACAGTACTTGATTGTCAGTGTCTGACTGGCATATACAAAATGCAACCATGAAAATGTCAGACAAGTAAAAAACAAAGCGAGTGAGAGAAGTGAGTTGGCAGAGTCAATTGAAAGCGCCATGAAACCACATCTGTCAGCCATCACCATTCAACACATTAATCTCAAATATTTTGAGAACCATTAGTGCAGAATCATTACATTGAAATGCACACTAAATACAGCCATCCCAGATGGTATCAATTACCATATATCACTTCAAAAAAATGTTTATATATCGAGTGTAATATAAAATAAAAGAAAAGACAATTGAAACTCGTTGATTTAAGGGCAAAGATTTATTACATGTACATGTTATAATGCCAAGATTCAATTTACACACACATGTATTGAACTAAACCAAAAAGAAATAATCAATCATGATAATTTATAGAAGCAAACATTTTTATCATCAAATTAAGTTGTATTGATACCAAGGATTTATAGAATAAGGGTAAGAAACTAGTGAGATATTGAATGGAAATCCTAATTGTAGTCTTTACAATAGGTTCTGATGCGATTGAACGAGTCCTGGCAAGAAATGGTCAGTGTTCGGGCTATATTTGCTAATGGACTTGTGTATTTGCAGACGATGTATTATTTTCATATATTTTCATAATAGAACCTTTCCAAGTGATAATTACATTTTATGACGCTATTGGTCAGAAATAAGCTTGAATGATACACACATGGAATGCATCACAGTTCAATACCATCATCCTAGAAATCCTTGGTATTACAACTGTTTTACTTACTACTATCGGTTATACATACATCATCAGCAATGTATGAGACCCTAATCTCTCTGCTATGTTATCTGATGGTAGATAACACATACAAAGGGATTTGAATTGAATTATTTACATCGGTACCTGTAATTTTGCTCATCTACAATTGATTTACCTTTCAGTAAACCTACAACACAACATGCCTGATATGTTTCTGACATATATCAACCGGGTACAAAAATAAAAACATCAGAGATATATGCTGGCATGCATTACACACTACACATAAGAGCTCATCTACTGTGGATAGCAACACATACCAAGAATAAACTAAATAAAAACAAATTATTACCAACTCGAAGTATATTCAACATTATGTGATTATTACAGATACCTAATAATAAACATAGAAATTATCTTTTTATATTTGACAGATATTTTAAAATACATCCTCCTTTATGCACCTAAGATGGTTTCTATGGTTTCAAGCTAGTCAGATTGTTCTTCTTTAAGGGAGGCAATGGACGTTCGAAGTAACTGCATTTGGGCCTGAAATTGAACAGAGTATTCCATGTTATTAGGACAAATCATCTCAAAAACACCTACTGTAATTCAGGAAACAATAGTTTCTGCTATATGCATTCATTAATTATACAGATTAGGATGTGGATTCTAATAAATATGAAAATTAACAAAATAATTTGACATTTTGACCTCATCTGTTGATCCATGTAAATATAAACATAAAAAAAAACACTTATTTGAAAATATATTTTCATATTCAAAATAATATATGGATGATTCATCTTACAGAAATCCACTGACAGACTATTATATCACGTATCTTAGTATGAATGTATCAATGCATTAGTATTTCAGTCGCTGAACTTCTCACAGTCGCTACTACATGAAATATTACTTTCTGAAAGTACTTGTTAAGTACTTGCACAAATAACACAAGCCAGACAGACTGGTATGCATAAGAGCGAGTGTACGGCCATTCTCAGGCTCTGATGAGCAGGGAATGAATAATCAGCAGATTTTCTAATAACGCCACGACAGTGAATCATGACAAATTCTGAAAGGCGTAGTTCAGCAGAAACTTAATTTCTTTACAAAAATGTATATAATAATAAGGTTATATGAACAAAATACCAGAATTTATGTTCTCATAAGCTATTGTCGATGTTGTGCGTCTTTGGACAATACCTTTGCTGTATAATACACTTGACATACATTTTGGTATTTTGTTAATAACACTGTATTAACTGATACATTTGCTGATGCAGTTTTTAAGTAATTTTTCAATCTGTGGAGATTTTCAGTCAGCTATTCGTGAAAGCATAAACCTCAAAATACACAGCAAAAATGTACAACATAAAGTTCCAAAAACTGGATGTATTCATCCCAATATGTGTCTTATCATTCAATGGATACCATTATTGAAAAGACATGGTTACTACACAAAGTGCACAAGCTGTGGAAAACCTACTTTAGCATGTTTAAGTTCTAGCTCAGCTAATTCCACCAAATGTTTACGAAATGCACCAACGCGTCTCATCCGGAAGTCTGTTAGTTCATGTTTAGCTGTATCAGATATCTTTTCAAATCTTTCACAAGCTCTTTGTTGATTTGTCTCTGCCTATATAAAGAAAATGAAAAGGTGAATAATAAATAAACAATTGTAAGGCTGCTATTAAATGCTGGTGCCAGGTAAGAAGGGAAGCTCATTGGTTACTGGGGGAATAATTAGCATACAGTGTCACTGAGAAATATACAGCTTACAACCTACACCTTGATATCTTGAAAAAAAAATCAAAATCAAAAGTGCACATACTTGTTGAACATCTTTATTTTTAGCTCTTGCCTTCTCTAGTGCTTTGTTGGCATTTTCATAGTTAGATAAACACCTGGTTCTTCTTAATAACAGATCCTAAAAGGAACAAAACAATAAATATATATAAACTCACTTTAAACAGAAATTTGTGTTAAACATTTTGAACTACACGTTATTAGCAATCTAGAAATCTTTTAGATACTCTGAGAACACAAGGGACTGAGTTGTTTGGGACATCCAAAGATCAAGATGACGAGGATATCAAAGGATTGAATTGATTGGGGCATCAAATGACTGAGATGATTGGGGCATCAAAGGATTGAGATGATTGGGGCATCAAATGATTGAGATGAATGGAGTCCCAAAGGATTGAGATGATAGGTGCATCAAATGATTGAGATGAATGGAGTCCCAAAGGATTGAGATGATAGGTGCATCAAAGGATTGAGATGATTAGGGCATCAAATAACAGATGACTGGGGCATCAAATGACTGAGATGACTGGGGCATCAAATGACTGAGATGACTGGGGCATCAAAGGATTGAGATGATAGGAACATCAAATGATTGAGATGATTAGGGCATCAAAGGATGAGATGATGGGGCATCAAAGGATTGAGATGATAGGTAAGCATCAAAGGATTGAGATGATAGGTGCATCAAAGGATTGAGATGATAGGTGCATCAAAGGATTGAGATGATAGGTGCATCAAAGGATTGAGATGATAGGTGCATCAAAGGATTGAGATGATAGGTGCATCAAAGGATTGAGATGATAGGTGCATCAAAGGATTGAGATGATAGGTGCATCAAAGGATTGAGATGATAGGTGCATCAAAGGATTGAGATGATAGGTGCATCAAAGGATTGAGATGATAGGTGCATCAAAGGATTGAGATGATAGGTGCATCAAAGGATTGAGATGATAGGTGCATCAAAGGATTGAGATGATAGGTGCATCAAAGGATTGAGATGATAGGTGCATCAAAGGATTGAGATGATAGGTGCATCAAAGGATTGAGATGATAGGTGCATCAAAGGATTGAGATGATAGGTGCATCAAAGGATTGAGATGATTGGGGCGTCAAAGGATTGAGATGATAGGTGCATCAACAAATTGAGATGATTAGGGCATCAAGGGATCAATATACCTTAGCAGCCTGTGAATCTCTCATGTAATACCTCATTAAATCTGATAACTTAAGATCTTCATCAGACGCTACTCGTGCTTCTAGTTTCTATGAAAAACAAAGAACATTACAAACTTTGAAAATACACATTTGCAAACTATTATCTAGTAGTACTGCTATCAAACATTGGCCAGCAGTGAAACCACCATCACACATTGGTCAGCAGTGAAACCACCATCACACATTGGTCAGCAGTGAAACCACCGTCACACATTGGCCAGCAGTGAAACCACCGTCACACATTGGCCAGCAGTGAAACCACCGTCACACATTGGCCAGCAGTGAAACCACCATCACGTATTGGCCAGCAGTGAAACCACCATCACGTATTGGCCAGCAGTGAAACCACCATCACATACTGGCCAGCAGCGTAACCACCATCACATACTGGCCAGCAG